ACCACACTCCAGCCCGGGCACAGAGCGAGAGTCCGTCTCAAAAAAAAAAAAAAAAAAAAAAAGTTGAAAGTTTTTAAACCAAGACTGGTAGCATTAGTTTTTTGTTTTATTAGAAATTCTGTTTGGCAGATCTACTTATCTGATTACTAAAAATTAGAAAACGAAATTATTACAAGACTGCAGATTGTTTGGACATCTTTCCAAAATGGGGGAGGAGGGGTGGGGTTGGAAAAAAGTTACCTTTGATAGCAAAATGGTTAGGAACCATAGTGCCTAATGGTCCTGAATCATTTCAGATTCCTCTGGGAGTTTAAAAGGATGTACCATCTTTTTGGGAAAAAATGCACCTATGTATTAAAGATTTCTTTTTTTTTTTTTTTATTTTTGAGATGGAGTCTTGCTCTGTCGCCCAGGCTGGAGTGCAGTGGCGTGATCTCGGCTCACCACAAGCTCCACCTCCCGGGTTCACGCCATTCTCCTGACTCAGCCTCCAGAGTAACTGGGACTACAGGCACCCGCCACCAGAGCTGGCTAATTTTTTTGTATTTTTAGTAGAGGTAGGGTTTCACCGTATGTTAGCCAGGATGGCCTCCATCTCCTGATCTCGTGATCCACCCACCTCGGCCTCCCAAAGTGCTGGGATTACAGGCATAAGCCACTGCGCCCAGCCGTAAAGATTTTTATATGTAATTCCAGAGGATTCGGGACTCCTGGAAGTTTATCCTGTATTTTTTGGTGTGGAAGTGAAAAATTATGAGAGGTGATTTCTCCCACCACCAATATTTATTCATGGTGGAAGAGTATCCTTTGGCTTTGTGAACAGATTAAATGAGTTAATACGAATAAAGTGTTTAGAACAGAAAATAGCACTCCATAAGTGTTAGCTACTAAATGTTATTATCTAATAGACAGAGGGTTACTGTATAGTGTTTATTCTGCCGAATAAAGTTTTCTGAGTTGTATATTGCTTGGAGGAACTGTGCCTTTTTCTAATTTGTATAAAGGCGTCATGTGAAATAGCAACTTCCCTACACACAAATTCATGCCTTCAGAGAATATGCTAAGATAAACCCTCTTTTGTACAATCATTAGGTAGGCTTCTTTTTACCTCATTTCTATGAAGAGATGGCTTAAAATTTTGTGAGGAAACCAAAGATCCGTATCCTTCTATTTCGCTCTTCTTTATCCCAATGTAAGTTGCCTGCTTTGCCTCTGAGCAAATGAACTGCTGCTGGTCTTCTTGTCCACAGTGTGAAAGTTTGGTTTTGCTTATTAACCTCTCTCTCTTTTTAAACATTATAAAATATTGAATAGAGGTGCTGTAAGCTATTAGGATTTATGATACAGTGGGTATTCTTGTACTTTCACCCAGTTAAAGAAAACAAAATTAGAATTATCTTTGAAATTCTTTGAATGCCCTTCATCTCCCACTCTTCCCTCTCCCATCAGAGGTAATAATTATCCTCGAGTTTGGACTTAACTTCTTTTTTGTTTTTAAAGCTTTATTGCAGCCGGGCGCGGTGGCTTACGCCTGTAATCCCAGCACTGTGGGAGGCTGAGGCGGGTGGATCACCTGAGGTCGGGAGTTCGAGACCAGCCTGACCAACATGGAGAAACCCCGTCTCTACTAAAAATACACAATTGGGCCGGGCATGGTGGCTCATGCCTATAATCCCAGCACTTTAGAAGTCTGAGGCGGGCAGACACCTGAGGTTGGGAGTTCGAGACCAGCCTGACCAACACGGAGAAACCCCGTCTCTACTAAAAATACAAAATTAGCCGGACATGATGGTGCATGCCTGTAATCCCAGCTACTCAGGAGGCTGAGGCAAGAGAATCGCTTGAATTCAGGAGGCAGAGGTTGCGGTGAGCGAAGATTGCGCCATTGCACTCCAGCCTGAGCAACAAGAGCAAAACTCCATATCAAAAAAAGAAAAAAGCTTTATTGCATATTTCTCCCTAAACGATACATTAATTTTATATCCTTTTGAAACTTTATGTAAGTGGAAAGTTTATATAAGAATGTGTGCATGTGTTTATTTTTTTGCTTGTGCTACTTACATTTTTTTTAAGCTCAACATTCTTGAGTTTCATCTGTGTTTATAATGATAGTATCCTATTGTACAGCAGTACCTCAATTTATTCATTCTCCTGTTTGTAGCCATTGTGGCTGTTATTTTGCTATTACACAGTGCTACCATGAATATTTTTATTCATGTTTTTAAATGTACAGGTACAATTTCTCTAGGGTATGTGCCTAAGAGTGGAATTACTGAGTTATAGGAAATGCACATCTTCAGCTTTACTAGGTAATGCCAATTCCAAAAGTGATTGTACAGATTTGTAGTCCTGTCATTAGAATATAAGAATTCAAGTTACATTTTATTTTTGTCATTTATTCATTCCAGAAATATTTATAGGACACTATAGCAGTAAATAAAAAGGTAAAATGCCCTGCTCTCAGGGAGTTTATATTTTAGTGGAGAAAAATAGCCAAAATAAATAATGTAGCAAAATGGTACCTGTTTTATGTGAAAAAAAATAAAGCAAGCGTAGTACTTGTTATTGCATTACTAATAGAGCCATATGTGGGGGGGATTTGAGGCCAAGGGGATGGGATATAACCAAGAAGTCCTGTGTTTCAGGTGGTGATTGAGATGAACAGAGATGTAGGTGTGAGATTGATCCTGATGCTTTCAAGCAGATAATGGTAGTGAAGCTGTGAGTGTTGGGGTGGGGATGAGGGTTAGGAATCTTGCCAGGAGCATTTTCCCAGGCCCCTCTCTTCACTTCTACTCATCCAGTAGCTCTAAGGCTAAAGAATGAGTGAGGAAGCTGGTACTGGGTGGTATTATTCTGAGCATTTGGAGTTCTGGGACCCCCTATTGGCTCTTACCTACAGAGGTTTAAAGGACCAGGAGAGGAGGGAAGACTTGTCTGGAACATATGGAACAGTGGAGTTCTCTTGATACAGGAATACTTGGAATTCTAGTGCTTGTTTGATTACTGAAGTTGGAAAACTGAAGGTTGGTGAATGGATGGAATTATTCTGAGCACTTGGAGCTTTAGGGCTTTCTCTTGACTCCTAGTGGAGTCCTCTGGGAGGAGTGGTTTTTCCTATAGTATGTGGAACCCCCTTTGTCAAACTTGTTAGTTTTTGTAGTGTGATAGATAGGAAATAGTATCTTGCTGATACTACAGTGGTATCTTGTTGGATTTACTTGATTTCACTCTAAAAATCCAAAATCTGATCAATTAAATGTCAGACTTTTTATATTTTATCTTACGTGTTTATTGGGCTCCACCAGTGTGGGAGTTTTATTTGTCATCTCTCTGTATCATGACTAGAGACCCAAAATTTAATTCAGTAGCCGAAGCTTTTACTCTGGTAGCTCTTGTCAACAGACCCTCACAGAAATCTATTATGCCCTGTGCTATCATCACCAAGTATGTAGTCATTGAGTTGGAAACCCAACCTTTTGTCTGCTCTGCCTGAGGAACTGAATTAGTAGCCTTCACCCGTACATTGCTACCTAACCTCAGAAAACACATCAGTATATCTACATTGACTCTATTTCACCCGTTCTGGGGCTCCCATCAAAATATGGGCCCCATGTTGTTGGAGCACTATCAGAGGCTCTTCATTTGCCTTTTAAATTTACCATTTTAAAATCTGAGAATCACAGCTATTACTTCTGTAAGGAAAGTGCTTTGGCTTACCACAACTAAGGCTGTAATTCCTTCTGTTTTTCAGGCCAAATGTTTATATTTTAACTCATGCGCTCCCCAGTGTATCTTATTACTCTCACAGGATCAAGTCTCAGAATTTACAAAAAGAACATTGGAGAAAGGCATGGTATATATAGTACCCTGATAATCTGTGACACTCTCTAGGTGGCCTTCTAGTTGCTCCATACATCGTACTGTCTTACCTTATTTACATGCTACATTCGGTGTCATGAAGGAGTGCAAAGATGATGATAACATCTGCAAATTCCAACTGATTTACTCTATGCATTTTCCAAGAATAGCTCAGGACTATTGCTCAAGGCTATGCCTTACTTGCCTTCTCAGACTGACACTGTGTATAAACCAATAAAACTAGATGGTGAGCAGCTGGGCATGGTGGCTCACTCCTGTAGTCCCAGCACTTTGGGAGGCCAAGGTGGGCGGATCACCTGAGGTTGGAAGTTCGAGACCAGCCTGACCAACATGGAGAAACCCTGTCTCTACTAAAAATACAAAATTAGCCGGGTGTGGTGGCGCATGCCTGTAATTGCAGCTACTCGGGAGGGAGGCTGAAGCAGGAGAATCGCTTGAACCCAGGAGGCGGAGGTTGCGGTGAGCCAAGATTTTGCCATTGCACTCCAACCTGGGCAACAAGAATGAAACTCTGTCTCAAAAAGAAAAAAAAAAACCTAACAACAACAACAACAAGAAACCAACTAGATGGTGAGCAATGAGACCTACCCCTCTTGATTTTTGACTTTTTTTTTTTTTAAGCCTTCAAAAGGATTTCATCCAACTTCCTATGGTTAGCTTTTAAGAATATTATCTAAAAACTGTGTACACTTTTTTCTTTTTTTTTTGGATGGATTGAAACCTATTATCGAAAGGCTGTCATTGTTAATGTTATCCCATACATTATGGAGATACCATAAGTGGCACCCATTTCACAGAAGAGATGTGTAAGTAAGAGATTGCTAAGTTTTACCAGGTTAGATATGATTATACAGACCTTATTATTCCCAAGGTACACATGGAGTAAAGAAGAAATACAGTCCTAAAAAATTAAGCTAGTCCTAGTATAAATGATCCAGAATTCTTCCTAGTGCCAACATATCAGTTGGTTTGAACCCATGTTAAAATAGTCATGGGAAAACCCATGAGACATTTCTTATCTGCCTTAACTAACCTGAGTAATTTCCAAATGCATGTTTCTAATAATAATGTGAACAACTGCAAAACCTGTGAGTCGTCTGAAGTTTTATCATTTACAGGTATGTGACGCATTCCCAGACTCTCCAGCCAACTGAGCATCAGCTCCTTCACGGCAACTGGGTCCTGATTAATGTCCTCCCGAGACAGACTTCATTGGATCCACACTCAAGAGGACTCTGCCAGGTTTTTCTGACCCCCCTACATTGCTATAAAGTGCCAAGGCCTTAAGACTTGGGTACGTGTATTACAACAGCAAGAGTGCCAGCGCCAACAAAAGACCCATTGGACCTGTCAGCTCCTCTGTTTCACCAACCAGACACAGTAACCTTACCAACAAAGAGTAAGCCAAGTGCCTCTGTATGACACCACCAGCAGCTGATAACGCATACGAAAAATATAACTAATTTAGACTAGAGCCCTATCTCTTCTTGAGAAGCTGGGATTTGAAGGAGCTATCCTGAGATCTGTACTGCTAGTAAGTGACTGATAACATTATAAACTGGATCGGTCCCTGAGTTCAGAGACTGAGTTGCAATTGAGTGAAAAATAGACAACGAAATCTTGAAGAATTGCACTGAGGTGCAAGCCAAGCTTATTTGGCTCTCCAAATAATATTGGTTGAACTAAGAAATTGGTAATCCAAACCTGTAATAGGACTGGTGTTTGGGTGTCTCTCTTTGTCATTGTTGCCTCTTGCTGTTACATTGCTGTCTGTGTTGTCTTTCTAGGTCCAGATGTTTTCAGATAATTCACATTGCCCTGATTGTGGACAACAGTGGTTCCCTAGTTTAGAACTAGGCCACTGGTTGTACCAAACTGAACTTGTTGAAAATGAATGTTACCAGGTATTCTTAGACCGTATTAACAGAGCTGATTATTGCCCTGAGTGTTATCCCGATAATCCTGCTAATAGAAGCCTTGTTCTTCCTTGGTCTTTCCCACTTGAGTGGGCTCCCCAGAATCTCACCAGATGGACCTTTGAGAAGGCTTGCCACCCATTTCTTCTGGGTCCTCCACTGGTTAGAAAAAGAATACATGACTCTCGAGTAGCTGGTTTTAACCCTGCATTACAGTTAATCTTGACCAGAACAGATAAAACCTTAAACAAAAAACTGGGTCAAAACAAATAGCTTCTATAATAGTCAAAATTGTCAACTCTAGAGGCTTTTGTGTAGGTAGCCCAAGGAAGATGGAAAAATAATTAATTTCTAAGTCTGACCCAGATTGTCACTAGTTTGGGAACTGCTTAAATTGTTGGATCTGCTTCTGTGGCCTATACATATTTTATTCACTATGAATTTAGTTAGTATTCTAGCCAGGCTGTTCATCTAGACTGAGACACACACACACACACACACACACACACACACACACACACAAAATAATTCATATTTCCTATAAACTGTTTTGGAACTAACTTACCACTCCTAAAAAAATTTCTGCAGCCTAATGAGTGACATATGATGAAGTAGTCCTAGAGGGGAAGTCCCATACTGTGTGCTTCTTAATGGTATTTCTAATGATAACTTTTGTAGGAAAGCAGCCTCATTATAGCCGGATCCTAGATTAGTCCAGTGAATTTTAATAAGAAATTATGCTGTTGTAAACTCACCTCTTACGCATTGGTCAGCGATGATACATATATAGATAACATTTATCCATATATAGCCATTTATTCATCATTGGCCCTGTCTGGCCCATCCTCAGTGTGGCTGTGACATTATTGATAACTGGTCACTCAGATAAATCACGTTCTATTAGGAAACACCTACATAGGTGATGCAGAAACATGCAGAAATGCCCCGTCTATACTTACGTGGCTTTACATGAACAAAAGACTGTCTCGTCTTTGTGGTGACTGAATTTACAATGTCCTCCCCTAGAAATGGAAAAGTACCTATCTAGGAGATGTATGACAAAAGAAATTATCAAGCCTGACTTCATATATATTATGAACAGTCTAGGGGAAGCATCTTTCTTAGAACTAAGGTCTGCTGAACATTGGCCACATTCTGGACTTCTATTGTTCATTAAAATCATAGACCCAGAGTTGGGGTTAAGCCACTTAGAAAAAGCTGTTGAAAACATCTCAAAGGCCACTGAACAATTTTTAAATTACACTTAACATGCCAGGTATCTAGGTATCTAGTGCTTTTGTACCACCTCAGTAATATTATCAAGGTCCCAGCTTCTTTCTGTCCTTCCCCCTTGGGATCCTCTTTTTTTTTTTTTTTTTAAATTGCTTTTTTAAAAGTAGTGACCGAGTCTTGCTATATGGCCCAGGCTGGTTTCCAACTCCTAGGCTCAAGCCGTCCTCCTACCTCGGTCTCCCAAGGTGCTGGGATTACAGGCGTGAGCCACCCCACCCGGCCTAGGATCCATGTTTGCTTTTTATCGTTAGGATTTTTTTTTTTCCAATGAGTACAATATGACTTCTTGTTGTAACAGACATTTTAATCCCTAGGAAAGGCTGGAAGTAGAGAGCAAAAGTCTTTCAAGTCTGTCTTTTATTTGGAAATCAAGTCTTTCCAAAAAATCTCTAGCAGATTTCTTCTTATATCTCATTATAAAGTATCAGTTTACAAGGGAGCCAGCCTGGGAAAGCTTGGCAAAGGGGAATAGGGTTATCATTTCCTGGGTAGGGCACATTGCCTCCATTGAAAAAATCAGGGCTCTTTTTTTTGTTTGTTTTTTTGACAGAGTCTCGCTGTCTCGCCCAGGATGGAGTGCAGTGGCATGATCTCGGCTTACTGCAACCTTCGCCTCCTAGGTTCAAGCGATTCTCCTGCCTCAGCCTCCCGAGTAGCGGGGATTACAGGTGCCCGCCACCACACCTGGCTAATTTTTGTGTTTTTAGTACAGACGGGGTTTCACCATGTTGGCCAGGCTGGTCTTGAACTCCTGACCTCAGATGATCTGCCTGCCCTGGTTTCCGACAGTGCTGGGATTACAGGTGTAGCCACTGTGCCCGACCAGGGCTCTTTTAGCAAGGAAAACGTGAGGAATGAATGGCTATTGGTGTGCAGCAAATCATACTTGCTACGTGTTGTGAAACCTGAAGTTATTTGTTAGTCTGTATGAAGAATGTACCCCAGAGATGTACCCTGTATCTGCCTTATGTCTCTTACAGTGGAGGTTCTCTCCTGTTATATTGCTGAATAAACTACGTGAACTGCTAAATTGACTGAAGACTAGTTAGTTTATCACTAACTCTTTAATGAAGAATTTCACTATCCTACAGTTCTTCCTAAAAAGTGAAAATTTACTTTAAGTGCTTTTAAGAATAGTATTATGATCAGTATTATTGCCCCTAAATTTTTTAATTATTAGAGAATGCTTATGTTGTAAGGACATATACAAAGAAACATTCTACAAATATGAAAATTTAAATATCAGCAAAATAGAGAAAAGGTCTTTGTTTTTGTTTTAGTCAATCTCTCCATTAAATAGTAAGATCAGATTAAAAGGATTTATACCATTGATTTCTCAAATCAATACCTAAACAGTATCTGTGAGAGCTTGTTTAAAAATGGAGATTTCTTGGTCTGCTTTAGAAATTTTGATTCCTCAGGTTGCTTGTAGGGCCCAGGAATCTGCATATTATAAAAAACACCTCATGCTGAGTGCAGTGGCGTGTACCTGTTACCACGGCTACTTTAGAGGTTGAGGCAGCAGGATCACTTGAGCCCAGGAGCTCAAGACCAGCCTGAGCAAGATAGTGAGACCCCTGTCTTTTTCAAAAAGAACAACAAAAAGATATAAATAGTGCCTTTGGAGATTCTGACGCAGGTGCTCTCTAGACCATACTTTGAGAAATGCTGTAGTAATACGTCCATAGTGTTTACTTATCTGGCTTAAAAGGGTGGGAGCAGAATACTCATAATACTGCAAGATAGTACCATTTATTTGGTAATACTGGTAATGTAAAAAGAGGTTTCATGTCAGACTGAAGATTACTCTTGATAATTTAGGTCATAACTGAGCCACATTTTTCTCATTAATTAATCAGGAATGTTTCTGTCCTCTTCACAAACAGTTTTGTTTGGTGTCATTATAAACTATGTGAATATATGGGCCAGAAAAATGAATAAAAAATATTAATTTTAATATTAAGAGGGTTACTTTGCCTTCAAACATTATCACATACCTGTTATATGGTAAGCTGTCAGAAATCAACATCATGTAGTAGAGCTCATAAAATTGAGCAAAGGAGAAAATTGAGGAAGCCTTTGAACAAAGCTTTTCACCTTAGGTCTTTCTAGTATGTCTTCATATGGCTTAAAATATTGCAGGTTATTCTAAAATACTCTATAGTTGATATGAATAATGAATTTTATTAAAACACAAATGCTGTGTTGGTAAAATTAATTGTAATGACAAATGATCTGGAGGGTTATCCAGTGTTTTAAATAGTGTGAGCTACACTCGTCTCTATTTTTATAGCGTGGAAGAGTTGGTAATATTGCTTATATGTTATGGTAGCATTTCTAAAATCACCATTATAACTAGTTCCTGTTATTTTATGGCAGACCTGGTAGTGGAAAGGTTAATGGAAACATGCAAGGGCAGACTGGAAAGAAAATATATCCACCAAAGAGGTAGCTGTCGGGAGATGTGAGTGAGTGAGGTAAGATTCGTCTCTGAGTCACAGGTGAAGGAAGCCCAGGCAAACAAGAAGGCGGAAATGAGTCCATGGCATCCAAAGAATATGTTGCAGTCCACGTGTCATAGCTGTCTGTAAAAGTGAGATGAGCTGTAGCCCTTTCATCTCTCCAGTCTCCCTGGCAACCCTGAGTCTCCATGGAATTTTGGGGACACAGCTTGAAAACTGCTTTTTATAGAGGCAAAATAATGGCCTTGCAGCCAGCTGGGTTTGTATTCTAATTCTGACACTATTAAATGACCTTAGGCATTTTAACCTCTCTGTACCTAGTTTCTTCATCTGTGAAAAAGGTTGTGTAATAATACCCACCTCATACTGTTGTGAGGTGTAAGTGCAATAACATATACCGAACATATGGCACATACTAAATCTTCAGGACGAGGAAAGATGTAGGGCAAGAAAGCAAAAGCAGAAGTCATAACTGGGGAATAATGTAGAGTCTTACTTGTTTTGTTTTGTTTTTGAGAGAGTCTCGTTTTGTCACCTAGGCTGGAGTGCAGTAGCGCCTTCATGGCTCACTGCAGCCTTGACCTTCTGGGGTCAAGTGATCCTCCCACTTCAGCCCCCTAAGTAGCTGTGACTACAGGTTTGCACCACCACACCCAGCTAATTTTTGTATTTTTGTAGAGATGGAGTATCGCCATGTTGCCCAGACTGGTCTTGAACTCCTGGCTTCAAGCAGTTCGCTCACCTCGGCCTCCCGAAGTGCTGGGATTATAGGCATGAACCACCATGTCCACCGAGTCTTAGTTTTAGAACAAGGATTAAAGCCAATTGTTTGAACTGATGCTGAATTATTATAAACTTATTGG